ATATAGGCCTATGGCCTACGTCCTACTGTACTTACTTTGATGTCGTCGGGGTATAATTCTGTCTCTAAATGCAGCGTGACCACTAGGAAAAATCAAAATTCAAGATTGGGTCTAAAAAATCCCAAGATCGCTTTTAAAAACCCAAGATTCGCAAAATATTAGTATATATACATAAACTTCATTTAAAAGTCCTTCATTTTAAAGCTTTTTTAAATTTTGTACTGTATAAGCCTTAACGAAGTGTCTAGATTTTCGAGATCAGAAACTCGTTCGCTTTGGACCATACTATTCGAAGGCCTACTCTGTGCGTCCGTGGAAAATCCTTTTTGGTGACTAAAACGTGATATCCTTTCCTCTGGCATTGTATGTTAGGCCAAGAGTTTGAAGTTTGTGCGCAATTTCACCCATTCGATATTAACAAAGTCAGTACTTCACACACATTATGCCTATGGCATTATTATATAAAAGGGCGTAATCGATCTTTTCAGAGTGTCTAACTGATCTGTCAATTTTATACCAGGGGACTACAGTATTGCATAGGAGTATTTACAATAAGAAAAATTGGGAAAACAGTTTCCTTTAAGATTTACTTAAGCGAGTGTGTATGAAACCGGGTCTATGGCAACTATAATTTGATACTACGTCTAGAAGTGTAGAGATACGGACCCTATTATTAAAAACTGTTGAATTCTAAATGATTACAAGATGACCAAGCATATGAATGAATCAGTCTAAAATGATATTCAAAGATATTATACAGCTAACCGCTAATGTTTGTTTTGCATGTCTATTACACACCGTCACTCACAAACGTATGCAAAAATTGGTCGTAAAATTTGACAAGTTGACCATTAAAATCTATTGTAAATATTTATTTAAATCCGTACACCGATTTTGTTTCAAGTTGTTTGTTTTTAATACTATAGCTGTTTCTTTACGATGACATTGTTTTGAAATTGTACTGTATAACGCTCCAAAATTTGTTTTATGGGCAAACAGGAAGGCTCTAAATTTTTACAAGTTGACCATTAAAATCTATTGTAAATATTTATTTAAATCCGTACACCGATTTTGTTTCAAGTTGTTTGTTTTCAATACTATAGCTGTTTCTTTACGATGACATTGTTTTGAAATTGTACTGTATAACACTCCAAAATTTGTTTCATGGGCAAACAGCAGAAGGCTCTAAATTTTTACAAGTTGACCAAGCGTGTTGCTGCATCATTATTGTTCGGTTACGATCACTTTTCAGGCAGAGAGCAGCAGGCTGATAATTTGTTTTTCCCACAGCTATTTGGATGTCGTTGTTGGTAACTTTTTTTTTTAAATTGTGAGTGTAAATATTTTGTAGTGTATATACTGTAGATAAGAATTGTAGATAAATAATGCACACAAAATCAATTGTCGATGGAGAACGGCGTCAGTCATCTGATTAGTCCCACATTAACAGTACCGATATTTTGAATACTCCTCTTCTGCGAATTGTTTTATTGACAGTGACTCATCTAATTCTTATATAATCACTTTAACATTTTAATCGAAATAGTTCACCATATCGTAAAAGTTTGAATACCCACCCAATTCGTTGGCGATCCTCAGTGTATGTTATGTTAATGAAACATGTCATACTGACAACAAGGGAATGTGTATTACAAAATGCCAGTACGTATTTTTTTAGATTTTGACGCACTCCGTTCTGTTGTGTGTGTCTGCTGTTGAAAACAAACTTCCTAATTTTGTGACTCGCTATGATGACTGAGATGGACCATGTTGATTTATTAATAATATGTTGTTTGGGATGGAAAAAAGTAGAGTCAATTTCCCAACAATGCTCCATCAGCAAATAGTTTGGTGTGCGCTGGACAGTATGGCTATGGAATTTACTAACCACACAATCCACAATAATTAAGTCGCAAAACTTTAGCTGCATTTGGTGGATTAAGTCGCAAAAATTTATCTTCGTTTGGTAGCGCCATTTACTCTAGGTAGACGGAGACCGGTTTCGTTACCGGTTGGTACATTTCTTACAAGCATTTAGCCAAAGGCCAGTGAAAGTTTTTTATCGATGTTTGCCATCCTTATGTGAGCTATCGTAAAGTCATGGTTTGCCGGACTTGCGTTCAATTTAAATCTCCGAACTTCTGAAGCTGAGATATTCTATGAATGTAGGCTTGTATCGCAGGCTACAATTTAAAAACGGGTGACCAAATAATGAATTGGGTGCTAAATTTTGATTTAATGCTGGGCAAGTTAAAAACAGACATTCCGTCCGAGTGGGACTCATTTAAAAATTCGAGGGGGTTCGCTAGAAAACAGGGGGGTTCGCTAGAAAAGGGGGGTTCGCCGAACCATAAAAACCCCCCTGGCTACGGGCCTGTCATTATTACTACTATTGTTGCTTCTACGACTACTGCTTCTGCTACTGCTGCTGCTGCTACTACTGCTACTACTACTACTACTACTACTACTACTACTACTACTACTACTACTACTACTACTACTACTACTACTACTACTACTACTACTACTACTACTACTACTACTACTACTACTACTACTACTACCACTACTACCACTACTACTACTACTACTACCACTACCACTACCACTACCACTACCACTACCACTACCACTGGAGATGCACGCTGGTGAATTAGAATTTACATATACGCATTATGACTAATTTTAGCATTAGAATCTACTTACCTGGGTTTTCATAGACTGTATCTTCTACGCCATCCCAGACAGGAACCTTTTTAGGAGGTTTAGGTTTAACTGTAGGTCCCTGTTTGCTCGCCATATTTTTCGATTTAGATTTAGACTTACATAATGCCTAAATACACGACCATAACGGCTAGCCTACGTACTTCCTTGTTACTGCACTATATGATCAGATATGATTTCAGGAAATAGATACTTATTTTCATATACAGTACCTTAATACAAAGATATGTTTTGAACAAAGAACAAGTTTGAATAACGAATTCGCATCATTGAGTTTGCATGCATTGTTATTACAAGAGGTAAACGTTCCTAAGTAACTCCCACGACGTGTCGAAGCAGGCTGTGACGCAGTCAGTGTGTCAGGGAATAAATTAATATCAAAACTAACTTAATAAATATAATTTGAAATTAGTTATTTAATTTAATTAAATTTAATAATTAGAATTAATTAATAATCAAATTCATATCAGCAAATGAGTGCGCACATCTTTATTAACTCCAAATTTTCAGGTGTTACTGTATTTGAAAGCAAATATAAGATGACATCTTTTGAATTACGCATCATACTATATAGTATTATGCGTAGTATCAAAAATGGTTTATTCGTATTGGAAGGAGTTTGCTGCTAAGGTGCAAGTTTGCAAACAAAATGAATGGCTAGTGATTTAAGAGGTAAAACTTACTACAGGTTAAGTAATACATATGCAGACAGCGAACAAAATATTAAAATATGACTGACTGATTAAAAAACATCAGGTAATAGCATTATTGGGGACACAGACATCATATTTTCTACAAGCTTAGAGGATTTGACTCGATGTTTGGGAAAAAATTTTTTTTCAGATAATGCACGCCATTGTGTTCAGACATCCATTATACCGGGTATGCCAACCATGCAACGAGTGTCAAAGAACAACTCATTATGGAGGCACACAAGGAGGGTAACAGTGGATTTCAACTGATATGTTTGCCCAGTTTAGGCCCTAAATGATAGACAAATAAATACCGTTAAAATTCTGATAGGAACCCTGATTCACTATTCATGGCCGGATTAAAGGGCTGTGGGGCTGGGGCTGGGGCTGTAATTGCAAGTGGACTTAAATAATCTTTGGCTAAAACATAAAACCAGATTGTCAGTGATTTTTCCTGGGGTTCGGAGTCCTGTTTTTCCTCATTGGGGCCTGTGGGCCTGGAGCACCAAAAGCCCTTATGTAAATCTGGCCTTGTCACTATTTATTGCTTGGCTTTTAGGGTGGGTTACAATTATGGGTTACTATTGGAGTACTGGGTCACTATTATTAGGCATAAACTAGGCCCCCGGTATTCAATCCCCGGCCTTCGGGCGAACTCCGGCCATCCAAAGATTTTGATCCTGCCCGCGCAACATTGGTAAAAAATAAATCATTTTCCGGCCGATTAATAGAAACACGACCACCTACGCAGCCATTGTTAACAAGAGTCTGGCTTTTTCTGAGTGCAGCTCATTGTATCTGTGTCCGGGAATCAGCTGTGTTTATTTTTAAATTTTGCTCACCTTAGCCCCAGCCATGGTGGGGCTGAGGCAAATGTGGGCCCTTCTTGGGTATCGGCCTCATCGTCGAGGAATTTCTGGCGCTGTCATTTTTTTAACTACTAAGTACATGAGTGAATTTTTTTATGCTCAGAAAATTTCTAGTTGTAGGGTAGGAGAATCTGGTGGTTCATTTATCCCCCTTCCAATTACTGAATTCCCTCATTAAAAAAAAAAAATAACAAGGCTTATCATAGTTATCATTGTTGAAAAACTAAGAATATAATAGACCTGTTACGAAGACTTGTAGACCTTATAAAAGAGAATGCGTAAAGCTGACATTAGAACAAATATACACAGTACACAATTTATGTCGGCCCACCGGTCTCAACAGGTTGAAATTGGCTATGGCCACGAGTATAAAAAGGGGTTGATACCCAGGAACTAGGCATTAATCCAAACATCATTCCTCCTGCGTTGAAAACTCACTAGAATAACTGCAGTACAAGTATAGATATTAGTTTTTAAGTTTATTATAATCATAATCATAACAAATCACATAAGGTAAGTAAACTGATATATATATGTATTGTAGCATTAATATCAAAACAACACTATCGTCATCCTCAACCATCATCAATTTAACAGTTACATCCGTTACATCATGGACCTATTAATCTGTCTCTTATACACATCTAGATGTGTATAAGAGACAGTATATACATATATATATATATATACATATATATATATATATATTTATTTATGTATATATATTATATATGTATAGGCTATATATGCCTATATATATAGTTCAATTGAATTTATTAATGATTATAATAATATATAATAATCATGATTATACATTTTTATGTACAAACTTTTGATAGAATCCCAGGGTCACTTTTCCCTTGGTTTTCAGGGTGGGTTACATTAGAGTATGGCTTAATTAGAGTCACTAATATTAAGCATAACATTCGACACTAGAAAATCCCTCACCCATGTCAACACCTTACACGAATAGGCCTAACTATGCAAGTAGATTTGTTGAATAAATTATATTATTCTGAAAACATATTGGGAAATTTAGGCATTCTTAAGGAAAAAATATATACCACAATGCAAAGCAAAGTGTTGATTCAAAATGAATGTTATTTGTAGGCTTATAATTATGTATTTTGGCATTATAATAATAAACCCCACTGAGTTACTATTATAGTAGTGGGTTATTAAAGATGAGGTTTTAAGGTGGATTACTCTGAGAGGTATTACTAATAGAGTACTGAAGTATTTCTACATTGGTATGTATGCATACCATTTGTAGAGGTGTGTTACAAAGTACCACTGGATTTTATATGAGCAACTTAAAATACATATATTATTATTTTCTTATAATACTTAATTATATTTATCATATATAAGTATTATTTACTGACAAGTTACTGGCTCAAGTTAGCCTATTACTTTTCAATTGAAAATCAGATAAGAAAAAATACACAGGCCTGTAAATAGACCTTTCCGGAGTGTGAAAAACTGACCAATCAGAACAGTGAAGGAAAATGCGCGCGTCCAAAGAGACACACGTGTTTGCGTATATTATTACACTGTCGTTTTGTGGGACCTTAGTAACAATATCCAAGGGGCGGGGCTTAGCGAAAAATTCAATTAGTTGGTAATACGATGTCTGAAACTCTATTACTATATTATTAGTAGTAGTATATATCAGTGAGAGCTATAACTTTCCCTCTAAAATTTCTATTCAATGTATACATTTCTTAGCGGTTTCTGTATTTTATTACAGACAATATTATTATGTCTATAAGATATTGCATATATATTTGTAAGAAAAAATATCTGTTTATAATTACTGTTTATTGTTTTACTGTTATATCAAATTTTATTATTATAAACACTACAACTTAAATTTGAAAATATCTGTTTTGTGTTTATAATATTGTTTTCCTGTTGTACCAATTATTATTTTTCATTATAAACGCTAAAACATAAACTTAAAAATATCTATTTTATGTATGTAATTACTGTTTATTGTTTTACTGTTATACCAACACTACAACTTAACCTTAAGAATATCTGTTTTATGCATATAATTACTGTTTATTGTTTACTGTTATACCAGTTATAGTTATTATTATAAACATTACAACTTGTGTTTTCGAGATATTCATTATAATGTGTGTGTAATTATTCTAATATAATGTATAATATAGGCCTACATATTATGTATTCATGCTTTGAATGGGTAACTGATAATTATTTAAACTAAATATGAACATATTTGCGGCCATGAAAATATCGAAAAGATTAGAGGCTTCTGTATTTTATTACAGAAAATATGTCTATAAGTTATTGCAAATATATTTGTAAGAGAAAATATCTGTTTTTAATTACTGTTTATTGTTTTACTGTTATACCAATTTTATTATTATAAACACTACAACTTAAACTTAAAAATATCTGTTTTGTGTTTATAATATTGTTATGCCAATTATTGTTTTTATTATAGGCCTAAACACTACAACTAAAACTTAAAAATATCTGTTTTATGTTTATAATTACTGTTTATTATTTTACTGTCATATCAATTATTATCATGAACACTGCACCTTAAACTTAAAAATATCTGTTTTATGTTTATAATATTGTTATTCCAATTATTATTTTTATTCGAGAGAGCAGCTTAGCTCAGTCTGGTGGTAGCCATTGTGTGTGCACTGAACCGTGGAGATCTCTAGGTCCCCGGTTCAATTCCCATCGCTGCCTCTCATTGTGTTTCAGCTGAGGGCAGAAATACATGTTACAATAGCGCACCCTCTTTCGGATAAGACGTTTAAGCCGTTGGTCCCGTGTGCATTTATGGCCCATGTGCACGTTAAAGAACGCAGTACACTCTTCGAAAAAGAGTAGGGGATTGTCTCTTGGTGTACTGTCCAATCACCACCACAGGAGGATCCCACTGGAAATAAGTCTTCTTCTAGACTTTCCTTTCGTGGGCTATCCTTGGTGTTTACACCGAATAAATCCAATCCAATCCAATTATAAACACTACAACTAAAGCTTAAAAAATATCTGTTTTATGTATATAATTACTGTTTATTGTTTTACTGTTATACCAATTATTATTATAAACACTACAACTTAAACTTCAAAATATCTATTTTATGTATATAATTACTGTTTATTGTTTTACTGTTATATCAATTATCGTTATCATTATAAACCCCGTTATAAACACAACTTGTGTTCTCAAGATATTCATTATAATGTATGTGTAATGATTATAATATAATATAGGCCTAATACATATGATGTATTCATGCTTTGAATGGGTAACTGGTAATTATTTGGACTAAATATGAACATATTTGCGGCAATGAAAATGTCGATGAAATTGCGCAGCTTCTTTTTTCTACTTCCTTGGCGGTTGTTTTAGGTCTTTTTTCACTATAAAAGAATGTTGTGAGTGTCCGTCAGTTTGAACTCGTCGCCTTCGTCTGATGTTGTCACCTTGCAAGAATATAGTCGATATCGCGTTTCCTAAGCAGTTCTTGGGAATCCACCCTTGTCTGTTGTCACTAAGGTTCTCAGCCCTTACCCAATCTGTTTAAATGGATGGAAACATATGTGTTTATTTAAGAGTTGTGAGTTCTGCTGTTCATCTCAACATAATAATTAAAGAAGAAGAAAAAGTAAGGTACATAATCCATATAAACATAGAACATGTCAGACATATATAATACCGGCTTTCTCTCCGATGATTTCTACTTCGTCTTCAATATTTACTCTTAGTTCGCCTCTCTCCTTCGCAATGAACTCTTTAACAATCTTATACTTCGGTCGACCTATAAGTAAAAGTAAATAATTTAGGCAGTACTATTTTTCAAACATTACTCTCATAATGAAAACACTCTCTTTCTCAGCATCATGTTCTCGACTTCTTACATCGTCTGTCCACTCATTACATCATCTACTCATTCTATTTGCGGTGACTTTCTCAACCAGTGGTGGCGCCAGAAATTCCCTGACGAGAGGTACAATGGACCTGACAGATGGATACCAACCTCAACTCTACGATTGTTAGGTTGAGAAGACACCGCTTAAATGTTCTTGGACTGTAAAAAAAATATTTAAAAAAAACAACAACCCTTGCATCTGTGTTGCACAACGAAATGACTCGCTTCTCGGCGGATGGGGAGGGGTGATTAGTAGGGTTACTCGAAACGGTGGTTCCTTTGCCCCAGAGCCCCCACCTCTGGCATCATCACATCTTCCACCGCATTGTTTCACTCATTGTGTTTACCGCGTTTCTCACTTTTTTACCCCGTTTCCTCAATACATGCACAATTTTCCCCTACTTTCGGCACCATGTTCCCGCTAGGTCGGACGTATTCCTATAAATCAGTGTAGTCAACTTACTCCATGATGCATAACCATTTCCGTCGTCACCTGTTGGTACAGTCATGTTCTTCCGCCAGAATTCGAAACTCCTTCATGAAAAAATATTATTTATGAAACACATTATTTAAAAATACATACAATCTCTCTTTTCTTTGTATTTTTACCTACATCATAGTACATCACTTTTCACGTCCGATATCACATGTACAGTACACAACACACAAAACTACAGATCTGCTTACAGGGTTTTAAAGGGCTTGTTAGCACCATAGTGTTATCATTACTAGACTACCTCAACACTTTTCACAATTTCTATCGGTGGTACAGATGGAAATTGGCCCAAACCTTGTTAAACGAATAGAAATATGTATAAATATAATAATAAGTATATATAGATATAACTGTTAATAGTAGTAAGTATATTCATATATATATATATATATATATATATATATATATATATAATATGTATATAAAATATGAAACTACAAAAGTAGAAGTTATTAATGACGTACGCTTACTTTATGAATAGTCCGAATAAGTAATTATTGAAAACATGACCAATTTTGGCTTACGAAAACTACTGTATACTGACTAACCGTAATCGTGAGTTTTCCCAGCAGACGTAATACATCCTCTTCGTTTTACCTGATGGACCTTTATACATTACAGCTAAGAACACATTCAGCGGCATTCCTTTTTTCATTGGAACTTTAAAGGGATAAGTACCAGATGAAGGCTTCTCAACTTCAACGAAGTTCTTGTTGGCACAATCAATAAGCTTGTAGACACTAAAAGATCATGAAGAAATAATAATAATAATAATAATAATAATAATAATAATAATAATAATAATAATAATAATAATAATAATAATAATAATAATTAATAACATTAAAAACAAACGCATTGTATATTCACTATATTAAGTATAAACGCAATCTTATTTAACTGAATGAAAAACGAAATTAGTAATATGTACAAGTGATGTCACCCACAAGAAAATATTTAAAAAGATGCCATTGAAAATATTACACTGGATCACGAGGTACAATGGGTATGATGGATGTAATTAGTGTCTTACTAATTCTGTTCGTCTGTTTGTTGTCGATTAACGTCAATAAACATAACCAGTCGTTCAAATGTGACGAGCTTCACATCCAATCCAACTTTCTTCCAGTCTTTACTGTCTGCTTTCTTGGAGGTAAACACGATGACGTCATCCCATGTTTCAACCCAGCTTTCATTGCTAATGTCATTCTCCTGAAATCGAAAATCTTTTTACGCTCAATATCAATTGTTAGTAACATGAATCACAAAATTAACTGGAGTGATTTCTTTTAACCAGAATTCAGAACTCAGAACTCAAAATGTTTTATTAGACAAAAAATTATAACAAACATTCTTGACATAAATAAATTAAATTATGACGAAATAATGGTAGGGAGCCTCTCATTAAGGCTAAAATAAGCCGCCACCATGAGAGCCACCGCACAGATAAATAAATGCATTGATTACTCATACGGTACTATTTTAAATGTCATTATCAATGGTGTAGTCGTCTTCCATAATGTGACGGTTGCTAAGTTGGGTTCAGGTTAAGAATAGCCAAATCAAACGATTTGATTGGCCACTAGTGATTTATATGGCGATTGCATTGGAGTGGGATGAACTAAATTTACAATATTACCTCGTTTGAAATGTCTTTGTCAGATTCAAACTCTATTCTTAAGAGGATCTTGGAGACGTGCATTTCCTCTTTCTCTTCCAATTCCAGGGCCTGGTCCTCACATCCGTCGCTAATGGTGTTCATATTCCGAACTAGGTCGTGGACAAGCCTCACTACGTTAGCTTCTGGGTCACTAGTTTTCTCAATTACATTCTGCAACCTCTGAGAAAATAAAAAATCTTATATATAATAAAAACTTTATATTACAAGACATACGTGTTTTATTGTTTTGTTTTTTTTTTCACAATAGTGGCAGTAGTCCATTATGATACCAAGCTAAAAACCATGACTGGTATAATCTTTTAAATTATTATTAAATGGTAAAGAGTATTTATGTAAAATTGAAAATAACAATAATGTTTCAATGAGCATAGTAAACGTCTAACCTTAAAGAGTAGCTTGAATTTGAAAATAAAATAGCACGGCTGCTTCAGAAGAACGTCTAAGGCAAGTAGCTTTCTGCTGTTTGATGAGTGACTCTCGTCCAACGTTTCTAGACGTTTTTCGATTTGTTGAAATGCTAGTCGTCTTTTTCTAATTTGTAGATTACGGTATAACACATAATTTTTCATGGCCATAATGCAGCATAATACGATATTTAATGACATTAATGTAGACATCTACAACTTACATTGATTTACGTTGTGTATAAGAGACAGGGCATATATATATATATATGCCTATATATATTCATAAATCCTCAAAGAAAGGTAAATACAGTGTTCGAATAAAGGACAAGATAACACATCGTGTAGCATAGCTCTCAACAAATTTTGTCCTATAAATAAATAAATAAATTATGTGGTAAAATGCCTCTGACGGGATTTCAACCTGCAACCTCTCGCTGTCAAGGCAAGCGTCATAACCATTAGACCACAGAGGCTGCATGGTTGAACAGATTTATATAACGTCAGATACACTCTATTACACAATAGGTACGACTGGAAACAAATAATAGCATATAATATAAATTAAGATAGCCGTTAACACATGATTTATTATTATGTTCTTTATTCGAACACTGTATTTACCTTTCTTTGATGATGATAAGTGCTTTTCGATCATAGATCTTTATCAAATTTACAATAATTAACAATAATGAGTAAGACAACAATAATTGCGCACGATCGACCAGAAGATTTAATATAGATACTGTATTACTGCCAAAAGTAATTGGAAATGACATAAAATAAGCAATAAATAAATGCTCAAGAAATTATAAATATAGGCTATCTGTATTATAGGTTGCGGTGCCATTGCAATAACCGCTCGACGATTTAACTTGCCATCTTTTGTCTTTGTTTTAAAATTATTACGTCTTATGCAGACTGAGGATATACGAGATTGACACTTGTTATACGTTAATGTAGTCCCTGGTCACTGGTACAAAGTGCAGCAATTCTCTGCTCTACGCATGTGCAGAAGAGTGTACCAATTGCCCTGTAGCCTAGCTGGACAGCAGAATAGCCCGGGTAAAACAAATTGCATGGAACTTTTCCGTTGAAATGCTATGTCCAATACATCATTATTCCTTTATTAAGTATCGTTTCCTCTACTGTTCGATTATTATTATTATTATTATTATATATATATATATATATATATATATTCCTTATATATATATTCATTATATATATATACATTTTTAATTTTGTAAAACTGTGGTACCACAGTGCTCTCAGAACAACATTGATTCAACATGTTACTTCATAACAATCGGCGCCCGTATTATCAGCAATATGGTCGTACCTGTATGGTTCCCCATATATATTACCTGCTTGAGTATCCACACGCGTGACTATAGGGAGGTTAGGACTAGATCTCCTTCTTAGAAAAGATTTTGTTCCAAATATGCGTTTTCTCAATGGCAATTTTTCTTGATTTTTCTTGTCGTTCGCTACACAACCGGCGCCCGTGTTATCAGTAATGTGGCTGTATGGATCCTCATACATACCGTCTGGATATGCTGAATCAATACGAAATCTATTGATAAAATATATATATATATATAGACATTTAAACGTACATACAGTAGTTCCCTTCATAAGTGGCAAATATTGACTTTAAGAAATGTCTTTTGAAAATTGTGTTCAATTATTGACGCACAATTGAATCTGCTGTATTCTTATTGGTCGCAGCAAAATAAATTTGTGGCTATGGGCCTGCATAATTTGACTATAGCCCAAAATGTGTGAAGGGGTGAGCGTTGAACATAAGCAATTAAAATTATGATTATAACCACATTCATTAGATTGGACGCTTTATTCTTAATTCATTCCTTGTCTCGGCTTAGAATGTAGAATTATAATCGCAGGTTTATACAATCAAAACGTTTCGACTGAATGTTCTAATTTTCTTTCATCTGTATACATTAGATGTGTATAAGAGACAGTATATATATATATATATATATATATATATTATACATACCGTGATAGATAATTAATAACGCCTTGAATTCTTTCAAAAAGCCTCCTGTACTCGCCCTCCTGTAAAATCCCATTCTTCGGGTCTAATGCTGAATTCTTGACGTACCGACTATCAACATTGCGTAAATCGTCTAGACTGTTGCTCACAAAGTCGACAGTTTCTTTGAACACCTATATAATAGAAGAAAATCATTCATTCAGAACTTTAACATTTAAAATATAAATCGTTTATTTGATTCACCAAAATTAGAACATCTTTTATAACCAGAATCTATATTTCAGTAATACTGGCTTTCAGCTAGTTACGCATATCATGAAATAGATGGAACAATTAGTTTGCAAAAAGAGGAGAATAGTTACATATTTGAAGTTGGCCTACCATCGTCTGCAAAATTTATATAATACAAAAAAAAAATAAACATGATGCATTCTTTGTCAACGTAATGTTTTAAGGTGACGTAGTATTTTCCTTTTCATTCGACCCATATAATTTGAATTTTATATTTTGTATAAAGCGGTTGTTATTGAAACACTTTAACATATCAATTATTGAAATCGTAATTAAAAGCAAAGAAAATTATATACTTCCATTTTTATTAATCCTAACCAAAGAGTATTCATAATTAAATTAAGACTTACATCTGCAGTGCTCTCAGTATCCCTTTGTACGGCACCAGTCCTTTGAAAATGTATAATTATAGAAAGTAGATATTTAGTATTTAGAACGTGTCAGAATAATGCAAACAAAATGAAGATGAAACATTACTTTTGGTTATGAAGTAATAATCTAAATAAATTTTGTATGAGATTTTGTGAAACTATAATTGTGCGTAAATTCTTTATATTTATTGAAATAAAAAATAAACGATACAAGTTCTGTACTCACAAATGAGGGAGAAAAGATGACTCATCAATATCTATTAAAATGATACATGGAATTCATTATAAAATAATCTTTATTATTCATATTATTATTCATATTATTTCGATGTGGGTTTGCGTCAGGAAAATATCATAGGAGTTATGTTTTGCCCTTCTACCTGTTATCGTACCGAATACTCAGTACGATCCCAGATATTTGCGAATATAATTCGCAAGTGATTCGGGTGGGAATCGAACCACGACTGCCAGATAACTAGCCTGGCGGCATAACCACTGACTACCGAGCTTGCGCTTGTGACTAGTATTGAATCCGATCCCTAGGTATTAGTAGGTGAAGAAGAAATGTCCCAACAAGTACCCGGTGTTATTCACCCATCACCTTACTGGCAATAACATTTATAACTGCTTGAGTATCTATAGGCATGACTATTGGGAGGTTAGGCCTAGGTCTCCTTCTTTTAATAGAAAAATAATTTTGTTCCAAATAAGCGTTTTCTAAATGGTAATTTTTCCTGAATGTTCTTCTACACAATCGGCGCCCGTGTTATCAGCAATATGGTCGTACCTGTATGGTTCCCCATATAATACATACCTCCTGGA